AGCAATGGGAGTGGAAAGGGGGGATTTGAGCCCAAACACCCCATATTTTCTGTATGACAATAGAGCCAACTGCAGCCTTGTGCCCACCCAGTCAGATAGCAAATGTTAAACGTGTGACGCTTACCAAGACAGACATCTAGGTTGGGGTCATAGCCCTCCAAGCTCTGCTGCGCCAGGAAGTTTTTCAAATGCACTTTATATATTACATCATCAGCCAGCCTCATCTGCCGTGGCTCCAGCCCTGGGACTGTAGCATAAGGGCACTGGCTGAGAACTTGCTTCAAGGCCAAAACATCCTCAGGAATGAATGCTGTTTCCAGCTCTGAGGGCCAGTCAACTCTCAGCTGGTGCAGAAACTTCTGGATTCCTTCATCGGGCACAGCAGGAACCAGGTGGACATTCATCCTAGAATCAGATACAAACACCATTCACCATGCATGAGCCGGTGCAACATCCAAGGAAGAGCATTTAAAGAGCTGGAGAATTCAATCCACTGACCCCTGTATTCTGAGTACTTCAGCCAAGTGGTCAGTTACTAGAATGGCTCTCAGATTGCTCAGGCTAAGCATGTCCAGGCTTCTCCGGCCCCGGAGGGGTGTGCAGTTCAGGATGATACTCTGCCCACTTGCTGCCTGGGAAGGCTTTGTGAACTCAGCAATAGAATTCAGGACCTGCTGGAAGGCAGCAGGTCTCTGTAACTGAACAGTCAGCCCCAGTGGGGTCTGCTGACAGCTCTGGAGAGGTGGTACTCCAGGGCATTTTAGTGAAATCACATCCTCTATGATGCCTTTGGGAACCTGCAAGAAGACAAGACAGACACATGAAAAGCTCCTCTCGCAGACACCTTCTTTAACACCAGTGTGCCATCTTGCAAAATTCCTCACTCTTACTGACAGAAATTAGCTGGAATCTCACCAGTCTAGGTTAGATTCATAAACTTTCAGGCAGTTACTGCAGCCCATGGTGGTAGGGGCTAGTTGTGAGCCTAGGACCCTAGTAAAAAGAAAAGGAGTACTTGTGGCACCTTAGAGACTAACCAATTTATTTGAGCATGAGCTTTCGTGAGCTACAGCTCACTTCATCAGACCCTAGTGTGGTGCAAGGGGGACGCCTGGGGGAATTCTGCGCCACTGCGCAATGTAGAATTTTTCAGAAATTAACATTGTGCGTGCAGACTTTCCTTTTCCCCCACAGAAATGGGCTGCAGTGCTGCGAGCCGCTACTGGACTCCCTAAGCCCAGCGTGCACATAGTCGATACTGCTGGGGAGAGAAAAAGGGAGCTCGAGGGTTCCTGGCAGCTGCAGTTCCCAGCACGTCCTGAGGGAATGTAGGAAGCTGTGCAATCTGGGGGTAGGGGCTTTGGGTATCTAGCCCCCACAGCTGGGCTCCAGGGTGGCAAGGGGGCAGAGGAACTGGAACTGGGTAGTCATAGGGGATTCTTTAACTCTCCGGGGGGGTGTGAATTTTTGTGTGTGCTTATATTGTTACAAAAAGAAAAGGAGTATTTGTGGCACCTTAGAGACTAACCAATTTATTTGAGCATAAGCTTTCGTGAGCTACAGCTCACTTCATCGGATGCATACTGTGGAAAGTGTAGAAGATCTTTTTATATACACACAAAGCATGAAAAAATACCTCCTCCCACCCCACTCTCCTGCTGCTAATAGCTTATCTAAAGTGAAGGAGGACTTGTGGCACCTAGAGACTACCAATTTATTTGAGCATGAGCTTGTGAGCTACAGCTCACTTCATCAGATGTTTCCGTGGAAACTGCCTGATGAAACATCTGATAGTGAGCTGACCTCACAAGCTCATGCTCAAATAAATTGGTTAGTCTCTAAGGTGCCACAAGTCCTCCTTTTCTTTTTGCGAATACAGACGAACACGGCTGCTACTCTGAAACTTATATTGTTACAGACATACTTGCTGACCAGTATTTTGAAATAAATTACCAAAATAACTGAAACTGGCATGATTATGTCCTGCGATTTTGACAGACAAAATTTCCAGAGTTTTAAAATATTGTGCGCAGAAGTTTCAATTTTTAGTGCACGTTTTTCAGGGGCTGGGTGCAGCGTGCTCCCAGGAGTAAAAGGGGCTCCGTCCCATGGGCGGTGCCTGGGAATGAGACACCACAGCCAAGGTGCCCCCTGCCCTGCAACAGGGGCAGGGGGCCTCGGCCCCAAGGAATCCCCCCAGCTGCCGGGGCTGCACCTCTCGCCCCGCCCCGCCCCGCCCCGCGTGGCCTTAGGCCCCGCCCCGCGCCCACAGGCCCCTCCCTCTCCCGGCCCCGCCAGCCCTGAGCCCCTCCCCCTTCACTCTCCCCGCCTACCGGCCCCCCCGCGAACAGAGCCCGCAGCGCGGCCTGGGGGGCCAGGAAGTCGCGGGTCCGCAGGTTCCGGGCGCTGCTCTCCTTGAACCAGACGGAGGCGGGGGGGCCGAGTTCCTTCTTCAGCGCCGCGTTCAGGGCCCCCAGGGTCTCCGACACCCCGAACCGGCCCCCGCCCGTCTCCATGGGGACCGAGGCAGCTGCCGAAACCGGAACCCGCCGCCAGGGATTCGGGGGCAACGGATACTGAGCAACTTCCTGTTTGTCTAACCGGAAGTTGCGTCACACAGTCGAGCGGCCTTCTTGGATGTGGAGGCAGGTGACGGCGGCCATTTTAGGTGTGGCGGGAAGTTCCGCGGACGCCATCTTGGGTGTAGCCGGAAGAGGGCGGTTGCCATCTTGCCCGTAGCCTGTGGCGGCGGCCAGGTTAGGTCTGGGGGTAGCCGACCCGGCTGTGAGGCCCCGGCCCCGCCCCCTCCCGGACCGTCTGGCATGGGCCTCGCCCCCTCTTCCTGGCGCCATGCCCCCCACCACCACTGGCCTGGCGTCCATCCCCCCACCGCCCCCCAGCCCTGGCCTGGCGCCCATCCCCCCACCGCCCCCCAGCTCTGGCCTGGCTCCTTTCGCGACCCCCAGCTCTGGCCTAGTGCCCATCCCCCCACCACCCCCAGCCCTGGCTTGCCGCCCATCCCCCCAGCCCTGGCCTAGTGCCCATCCCCCCACCACCCCCACCCTGGCTTGCCGCCCATCCCCCCCCACCTGCCTAGTGCCCATCCCTCCACTCCCCCCAGCCCTGGCCTCCCTTCGACCCCCGCTCTGCTTAGTGCCCATCCCCCCACTGCCCCCAGCCCTGCTTGCCGCCCACCTCCCCCGCGCTGGCCTATGCCCATCCCCCCTACCCCCCGCTCTGGCCAGTGCCCATCCCCCCTACCCCCCAGCCCTGGCCGCCCCTCCCTCCACTCCCCCCAGCCCTGGCCTGGCCCTTTCGCAACCCCCAGCTCTGGCCTAGTGCCCATCCCCCCCACCACCCCCAAGCCCTGGCTTGCCGCCCACCGCCCCAGTGCTGGCCTATGCCCATCCCCCCTACCCACCCCCCAGCCCTGGCCTAGTGCCCATCCCCCCTACCCACCCCCCGCCCTGGCCTGCCCCATCTCCCCACCCCCCAGCCCTGGCCTCCCCATCCCTCCACTCCCCCCAGCCCTGGCCTGGCTCCTTTCGCGACCCCCAGCTCTGGCCTAGTGCCCATCCCCCCACCACCCCCAGCCCTGGCTTGCCGCCCATCCCCCCCCAGCGCTGGCCTAGTGCCCATCCCTCCACTGCCCCCCAGCCCTGGCCTGGCTCCTTTCGCGACCCCCAGCTCTGGCTTAGTGCCCATCCCCCCACTGCCCCCAAGCCCTGGCTTGCCGCCCACCTGCCCCCCAGCGCTGGCCTAATGCCCATCCCCCCTGCCCCCCCAGCTCTGGCCTAGTGCCTATCCCCCCTACCCCCCCAGCCCTGGCCTGGCGCCCATCCCTCCACTGCCCCCCAGCCCTGGCCTGGCTCCTTTCGCAACCCCCAGCTCTGGCCTAGTGCCCATCCCCCCACCACCCCCAAGCCCTGGCTTGCCGCCCAGCCGCCCCAGTGCTGGCCTAATGCCCATCCCCCCACCCCCCAGCTCTGGCCTAGTGCCCATCCCCCCTACCCACCCCCCCAGCCCTGGCCTGGCCTGGCGCCCATCCCCCCACCCCCCCAGCCCTGGCCTGGCGCCCATCCCCCCCCCCCCCCCAGCGCTGGCCTAGTGCCCATCCCTCCACTGCCCCCCAGCCCTGGCCTGGCTCCCTTCCCGACCCCCAGCTCTGGCCTAGTGCCCATCCCCCCACTTCCCCTAAGCCCTGGCCTGCCACCCCCCCCCCCGCGCTGGCCTAATGCCCATCCCCCAGCTCTGGCCTAGTGCCCATCCCCCCACCCCCACGAGCGCTGGCCTGGCGTCCTTCCCACCCCCAGCACTGGCTTAGTGCCCTTCCCATCCTCCAGCACTGGCCTAGTGCCCATCCTCCCACCCCCACCCACGCTAGCCTGGCGCTCTTCCCACCCCCAGCACTGGCTTAGTGCCCATCCTCCCACCCCCATGAGCTCTGGCCTGGCACCCTTCCCACCCCCAGCACTGGCCTAATGCCGATCTCCCAACCCCCACCAGCGCTGGCCTGGTGCCCTTCCCAACCCCAGCGCTGGCCTGGTGCCCTTCCCAACCCCAGCGCTGGCCTGGTGCCCTTCCCAACCCCAGCGCTGGCCTGGTGCCCTTCCCAACCCCAGCGCTGGCTTTGTGCCCATCCCCCCACCAGCACTGGCCTGGTGCCCACCCCACCCCACCCCTCAGTGCTGGCTCCCAGCCCTCCCAGTGTCCTGGTCGCCCGATACCCACCTGCCAAACTGGCTGGGGCGCAGGGTGAGCGGTGCCCAACAGAGCCGGCCTGCTCCTGTGCCAAGGGTGGAGTGTCAGACAGCCTGGGGAGGGGGCTGAGCGAGGGGAAGGACCCCCAAGGACATGGGTCTGCAGGGGGAGAGGGAGGGCACATGGTGGGGGGAAGGTCTCGGTGAGACAACCTCAGTGCTATGGGAGGGGACGGGCTGAGGGCAAAGCAGAGCCTCAGATGAGGACTGTGAACTTGATCTTCGTGCACAGGCAGGGAGCCAGCAGTGGGACTCAAGGGCACGGCAGCCGAGCTGTGGGAAACAGTAGTAATTTCAGCTGCTGGCTGCTGAACAGACTGAGCTGGAGAAGGCTGGAGAGGAGGGCACCGTTGCGTACATGAGAGAGACTCATGCAGTGAGTTGTTTCAAACACAGTCACCAAATATCATGAGTTGATGGGGTTTTTAAGCTGCCCATGATCTTAGGAGTGCTAGTGTCAAAATCCTGAATTTTCCCCAATCAAAATGGCTGCCATCTGTAATTTTCAAGAGGGTTGAAGCCAAGTTGGCCTGAGTTGAAATGACCACAATTTCCCTATAGTCTTTGCATGTAGAGGTGAGGCTGCCCCAAGGGAAGATGGCCACGGCCACCATCCCATTGCTTCCAGTTAAACCGGAGACAGAATGTCTTTAGCTGGGCGGCTACCACGCCATGGCGAGGGGCCTCCTAAGGAAACCGAGGAGTTGGGAGTGTAGACTGCAGGAAGGTGCAGGGGTTGAGAGAGATTGAAGTGTGCAGGGGCATGTGGGGAGTAGGAGAGAGAGGAATAGGGATGCACGGGAAAGACTGAAATGTGTTTTTGGGGAGCCATGGTTCATGGAAGGAGATTGAGGGGCAGGTGGATCAGATGTGGGGTGCAGGAGGGAGGCTGAGGGATTGCAGTGAAATGTGGGGAGAAGCCAGAGAATGAGGGGTAGAGGGAAGATGTAGGGGCAGGGTACTGCGAAGAGAAAGGGGGGAAAACGTAGGGCCAGCGTACTGGGGAAGAGGAGACAGGCTAGTGATAAGAGAGGGGGATGGAGGGGGGCAGAATAGCCTAGCTGGTCCCTCTCCCCAGGCTCAGAAGAGTGCACATGGAAACCCCTCCAAGCAGCCAATAGGAAGCCTGTATTTGTGTGTGTGTGTGAATTTTGAATGTGAAATGCTCTCACGCAATCAGTACCAGGTTTACCATGGCGCCAAGCCCATGCTCAAAAGGGGACCCAGCCTGGCCCATTCCACTTGCACTGCGCCCTGCGCTGTTGGCTCCTCTCCCCCCGCCCCGGGCCCCCTCTCACAGGCTGGGTCTCTTCCCCCCCCCCCCCAATAGAGAGGAGCCCTTAGGCTCTGCCGCTCTGGGATGGTTGACTGTCCGCTTCGGGCTCCTGGGGGGCGGGACCTACCTCTCCCTGCCACACTGCAGAACCCGCAGGCTGGGGAAGTCACCTTCACCTGGGCACCAGCGCCAGGTGGGCAGGGCTGGGTGAGGTCCTGTGGGACGGGGCTGCTCTGTACTCCCAAGCTTCAGCTATCCTGCTCCCTAGCATTGTGCTGGGAGGGGGGAATCCCTGCTCTGCACTGGCTCCGCAGGGCCAATGAGTGCGCTTGGGGGGCAGGGCGTAGAGGAGTGTGTCTGGGGGGAGCTGTAGGGTGGTGCTGGGCAGGTGGGAGGTTTGTGTGTTTTGGAGTTCTAGGCAGTGGGAGGGTCTGTCGGGGGGCACTGAGCAGTGAGGGGGGGTCTGTATGGGTCACTGTGTACTTGTGGTGGGGCTGTGGAGAAGGACACTGGGCAGTGGCGGGTGGGGGAGATCTGTGTTTGAGGTGCTAGGGAGTGGGGGTTCTGTGTGGAGTGCTGGGCCGTTGTGGTGGGGCTGTGGGTGGGGAAGCGCTGGGCAGGGATAGTGGTGCACAGGGCATTGTGCATTTGTGGTGGGAAGGTCGGTAGGGAGTGGCACTGGGCATAGTGGGTCTGGGGGGCGCTGGGTATAGAGAGTCGGGGGGTGTTGGGCAGCGGGGCTGTGTGGCATGGCGTGGGCCTGCCCCCGAGGGGAAGGGGCACGCTGGCAGCACAGGGCTGAGCAGGCCAGCTTCTGCCGGTTTGTAAAACAGTGCCCTCGCACTGGGCTGGGTGAAGGGGGTCACCCCCACCATGCCATACCCCATTTCCCCTAGCTACCCCCTAGCTCCAGGGACCAACCTCCCTGCACCAGGCTCCATTGCCCCCATAGGGGCCCACAAATAACTTTGGTGCCGGGCCCACAAAAGGTTAATCTGGCCCTGCCCACAATTTGAGTGCAGGCAATTTGCACCTAAAGGCTCAGAATCCAGGGTGCAGATTAAAAGCCCCATTTGTTAAAACCATATGATTTTCAAAACCATCTTGTGATGTGTTGGAATCTGCTTCTGCTGTTTGAACATGTGGGGATGGGAATACTGAAAAGATGCCAGCTCTTCCACAATAGGCCGGGGCTTGTACTGCCTGAGATTGTGGAGCACAGTCCCCCGAGGGTTGGGGCTCCTTTCATAGCCCCGGTGTTCTTTCCACCTAGGGGACACACACAACGCTTGGAATTAGCATCAGGCAGGCAGTGTGTCTCTCTGAGGAGCTGACGGATTAAGACATGAAGGCCAGGCTCTTACTGAGAGGGACTGTGCTGCTCCCTTCAGATATGTCATGAATGTTGGTGTCCCCTCCCCGCCTTGAGAGAGCTGTAATGTTACTGAGCTCAGATTGCTGAATGTGGAGACACTGTCCTGTACAGACCTCAGTTGTTCAGGGTTAGGTCTGTTTCATTTCTTGCTCTTGACCGAATGGACTATCAATAGTTGGGTTCTAAGGTGCAGCAGCCACACTTGAAGTCTACCCTGTCTGATTTGGTCGGATCCTATCCATTCATTGTCATCAGTCCTTAAAAGCCTCACATGCAGGTTTTGTTAAAGGAAGATGCCAGGACACCAAAGACCAGCTGAAATGTTTTCGTCACAGATTTCGTAGACTCTAGAACAGACAGTTATTTGTTTGGATTTTGTGGTGTTCACAACTCAGAAAATTAAACAATTTGAAACTGATCAGAAACAAAAGTGAAAGGGGCTAATCAGCTTCCTTGTCCAGCTGAGAGGAATGCAATCAGCCTGTGCAACACAGGGGCCAGGAAATGGGCTTTTTTCTGGTTAATGTATTATTTATGGCGCCCAAAAGGATGCTGAGCATTTTTACAGACCAAATAACTGCCCTGAAGTCGTTGGGAGTTCGGGACATTTGGCACCTTGCAGGAGCAGGCTCTCGGAGGTTAGTGGCAATATAGGTGGGAAATATGCTGCATGTTGAAATCTGGAACTTGATAGTGTGTCTAACTTTTGGGCGAAGGTAGGTGGCTTGAATGTGACTGAACAGGTGCTGAAGTTGCTGACCTAAGAGGAACCTGCTAGCATCTGCTATGGGGACAGACACAGCTGTTGTGACCCTGACAAATCTGAGCGTGGGCTTCTGCAGCTTGGGTCTTTGACCCACTGAAGGACATGACCATGTGCTGGCCAAGTAAACCCATTACTGAAACTCCATTAGGTCTATTTCTTTCTCAGCCATAAAGGAGTTTGTCTGCAAAGAGAAACTTGCTCCAGCTCCTTCCACACACTCACAAGCCTGTTCCCTTCTCTGAGATCACTAATATTCTACACTGGCCTGTTCTCATGGGTGAGGGCAATAACTCACAGAGAGTACTGGTGAGGAGAGGGAGGCTGCTCAGGGGAGAGCCAGCACATCTCGTTAATCAGGCACGACAGGAAAGGAGATAGACAACTATCAGAATGTGTGTCAGACTCTCCATTAGATCTACACTGCTACGTTCCTCCTGGCATCATTTCAAAGGCCTGTTTATAGTCACAGAACCGAAGGCCTTAGAGCATTGTGAACAGCTAGTCTGACCTCCCAATTCCTGTTCAGCAGAACTCATTCAGTCCTGGGATGGAACTTGGGCAGCCCAAAATTCAGGCCAGTTGAAGCCCACAACTGAAGGCCATGGTCAGTGGCTGAATTTGCTCAACAGGTGGCTTCCAAAGAAGTTGGAACCACTAGAGCCACTCACCTACCCCAAAAAAACAACAGGGAGTCCAGTGGCACCTTAAAGACTAACAGATGTATTTGGGCATAAGCTTTTGTGGGTAAAAAACCCCTACCCCTCTTCCACTTCCTTCCCCTACCTCATTCTCCTCCTCCCCATGTCTCTTCCCAGTGGGCTAACAGTCTGTGGGCAGAGCAGGCCCCGTGGGGGCAGAAGGGTCACTATCTAGGAACTTTATCCATTGCTTCCCAGTGGAGGATCTTTAGACAAAGAAAGACATATATTGCCCTGTCCTAGAGGGAATAAAACTCTTAGTCCTCTGCTGCCTGTAACAATTGTTAATATGCCTAGCACTTTGATAGCTGTTTAATCTATAGATCTCAAAGTGCTTCACCAAGGTGGTTTATTTGAGCATGAGCTTTCGTGAGCTACAGCTCACTTCGCTCACGAAAGCTCATGCTCAAATAAATTGGTTAGTCTCTAAGGTGCCACAAGTCCTCCTTTTCTTTTCACCAAGGTGGGTCACCGTTATTAGGCCCTATGCTGTTTGTTGTGCAGTAGCTTGGTATTTTTGCAAACTGCAGAAAACCGGCAGAACCCAGCGGAGATGAGATGGGAATTTAGGAAGGGGGGATTTCACGACCCAAGCTGGAATTGACCACAGCTGCTGCACTTAGTCCAACTCTTCTCCACAGCAGACTGACTGCTGTGCGGTACAGTAGTGCCTAGAGGCCCAAAGCAAATCAAGGACCTCCAGCAGCAGGATCTAGAGGCAGGCCAAGGGGATTTGAAGCCTGTCAGCTTAGCCTTCTTTGTCACATTCTCCCTGCATCCTGGTCTCTCCTGCCACTATGGCACTGGTGGTTGGCATTGATATGGGTGCCCAAAGTGCCATTGAGCTCTCTTTCCTTAGGTGACATGTAGCTGATGCACAAACAGAATATTTCCCAGCAGAAACTTGGGGAGATTCGTTGGGCCACAGAACATATGAATGGCCATGCTGGGTCAGAACAAAGGTCCATCTAGCCCAGTATCCTGTCTGCTGCCAGCAGCCAGTGCCAGGTGCTTCAATGAGAATCAAGAGAACAGGCAATCATCAAGTGAGCCATCCCCTGTTTTCTAGTCCCAACATCTGGCAATCAGAGGCTTAGGCACATCCAGAGTGTGGGGTTGTATCTTGGCTAATAGCCATAGCTTGACCTATCTACCCTGAACTTATTTAATTAGTTTTTGAACCCAGTTATACTTTGGCCTTCACAGCATCTCCTGGCAATGAGTTCCACAGGGTGACTGTCTGTTGTGTGAAGAAGTACTG